CTCGTATACACACACACACACACACACACACACGCACACACACACACACACACACACAATCAATCAATCAATCAATCAATCAATACAAATCAATCAATCAATCAATCAATCAATCAATCAATCAATCAATCAATCAACCAATAAATCAATCAATCAATCAATCAATCAATCAATCAATCAATCAATCAATAGTATCGAGATCCTATGCATACGATAAGATCTTGATATTATTGATTGATTGATTGATTAATTAATTGATTGATTGATTCGATGGCCCGGCGGAACATGGAATCGCCAAATTTTTTTATTTTTTTTTCGTATGTTGTCTTATAGCTCTCGGAAAGCGCGCACGCTGGATCTCTCTCTCTCTATATATATATCTCTCTATCTATCAATCTATCTATCTATCTATCTATCTATCTATCTATCTATCTATCTATCTATCTATCTATCTATCTTGTGTGTATATGCGCGCGCGCGCGCGAGATTTTTCTCTCTCTCTCTCTTTCTCTCTCTCTCTCTCTCTCTCTCTCTCACACACACACACACACACACACACACATACACACACACACAAACAATCAATCAATCAATCAATCAGTCAATCAATCAATCAATCAATCAATCAATCATTCAATACAAATCAATCAATCATTCAATACAAATCAATCAATCAATTAATCAATCAATCAATCAATCAATCAATCAATCAATCAATCAATCATTCAATAATATGAAGATCATATCCAGACGATAGGATCTTGATATTATTGATTGATTGATTGATTCATTGATTGATTGATTGATTGATTGATTGATTGATTGATTAAATGATTGATTAATTGATTGATTGATTTGTATTGAATGATTGATTGATTTGTATTGAATGATTGATTGATTTGTATTGAATGATTGATTGATTGATTGATTGATTGATTGATTGATTGATTGATTGATTTGTTGCTAGAACATGGAGATATAGACCGCTGTTTTGTTTTTTTATTTCAATCCGTTTTCTTTTATTTTTTCGCTTATTCTTTGTACTATGAAAAAGCATGACTGTACCGGACTGCTTCGTTGGACTTTCTTCGACACACACACACACACACACAGACACACACACACACACACACACACACACACACACACACACATACACACACACACACACTCAATCAATCAACCAATCAATCATCTGATTTTTTTTTATTTTTTTTTATTTTTTTGCAAGATCACGCCGCTGATCTCCGACCCCCTCGAACAGCAACCACACCACTTCTTGGCCAGCGCGGGTGCGATCCCGACCGCGTTGGACGCGTCGCCAACCTCAGCGGGCAAAGCCGCGACCGTGGCGGACGAGTTCACAACCGCGAAGTCGCGACGGGATTGCGGTGGGCCTCGGTCCTCACGCGCGTTGGCGCCCGGTGGACCCGGGGCGGGGAGGGGGTCTTGGATGAGGGGAGTACAACATCGACGGCCTTCAACGACTCGATGGGCGACATCACAGAGCGACATTAGCGTATAGGCTAGTGCGAACTAGTCATTCGTTCACAATGAGTCGGAGGGGGGGTGGTTCTTGGGGGGGCGGTGGTTCAGGGGGGTTAGATTTTATCCCTGTTTCCGATGCTGAGATGACCAAGCTGAGGAGGGCCTCATGCGTTTGGAAATACGTTACGCTGGGGCAACCGGTAGGGTTGTGGGAGAAGATGCACGGTAACCGCAAGTTGCGATGCAACTTGTGCAAGCACCTGTGGCAGGGGAACCAATCGAAGGGCGCGAGGCACTTCTGCCAGTTGAAGAAGTGCCGTGTTGCGCAGTTTGACGTGCTCGTTGACATTTGGAACGGTACGGACTACAGATTTGATGACTGACATTACGCATCCATCCGCGCATACATGGAGGAGCACGGCATCAAAGACTCCCGAGCAGTTGTTGGAGGTTGTACAGGAGCGGATCCTTGCACTGTAGGCAGGGACGACGTGGAGGACGTGCTTGACGAGATGGAGGAGCGGGAGGGGGTGGAGTTGCCAGGGGAGGAGGTCGTGATGACGTCGCGTGGGGAGGACCCTGAGATCCGAAAGGGGAAGAGGCCGATGGGGGAGACTGACCAGGCAGCGACCCGACCGGGGAAGAGGGTCCGCCAGTCCAAGATCGACGAGCTCTACACTGCGGACAAGCAATCGGTCTTCAACGACAAGTTCCTGCAGTGGATTTATGACTCTGGCATTCCATTCAATGCGTTCAGGAGACAATCGTGGAGGGAGGTCCGGAAGGCGGCGGATCAGCTGCCGAGAGGAGTGCAGATGCGATTTCCTGCCTTTAAGGAAATCGGTGGAGATGGAGTGCCTGAGCAGAGGGCGAAGGTGGCGGCTTTATTACGGGAGTTCCGAGAGTCGTTCAGCGCCACCATCTTGTCAGATGGTCGGAAATCACGTGATTATCGACCCATCGTGAACTTCCTTGCTGCGGGTGCCACTAGCGCCCTACTCTACGCCACAATTTGCGGCGACGGTTCCGTACAGGAGACGGGCGCCATTGTCTTCCGCAGGTGGAAGGCCATCATTGAGTCCTTCCCTGCGAAGGACGTCATAGCTTTCTGTACAGACTCCGCTAGTAACTACACAGCGGCCGCCCGTTTGCTCGCCGCAGACCCCGATCCAGTGGTCCGGCGCATCACTTGGCTTCCCTGCTCGACCCATGTCTGCAACTTGATGTTGTCAGACATAGGGACACGAGTGGGGTGGGCAGTTGACACCATTATCCGTGGACGAGTGATGGTGCGATTTATTAAATCGCACGGCGCAGTTCTCGCCATTTACAAGAAGAAAAGCTCGCGCGTTTCGCTTGTGCATCCAGTTGAGACTCGCTTCGCATAAGTTTTCATGATGTTGACTTGTCTCCTTGGGAGACGCGACTCACTGGAGGCGATGTTGCATGACGATGCCTGGGCGAGTATCCCTTGGGAGCGGAGACTGCTACCCCAGGCTAGATGGGTGCGTCTCCAGATTCGAGATGGCGAATTCTGGCGCTATGTTGAGTTTTTGATTCTTGTGATGGATCCCATCCATCAGCTGCTGAGGCAGATGGACAGAGGGTGGATGATGATGTCCATCGTCTAGAGTGGAGCCGTCATCTCGTTCAACTTCTGACGAAGCTGGACGTTGTGTCGGCTGATCTTCTGACCCCGTGCGTGCGAGAGGTCAGGATGCGGCTCATGCACTTGTTGAAGCCCGCGCACGCTGCCGCTCATCTCCTAAACCCCCGTCGTCGGTCTTTGAGGTACTACGCGTCCCTTCACACCACGACGGAGGATGCGAAGGTTGTACAAGAGTGTGATGGTTTTCTCCTTGCGCAGACTGGAGGTGATCCCACCAGTAGGGATTACCTCGTTGTTCGTGACCAGATGCGCCGATTCCATGCGCGCAGTGGAGACTGGGGTGACAGGCTGGTGTCGGATGCCGAGGCGGAGGGTCGGCATGGGGATAAGGAGACGCACCATTGCGCGGCGTGGTGGTTTGCCCACGGCACTGCCCACCCTGAGTTACGTGCTATCGCTATCCGTGTGATGCACATGTGGACGTCAGCCTCTCCCGCGGAGAGGAATTGGGCGGCCCACGAGCGCATTCAGACGGCAAAGCGGAGCAACCTTGGCTTCGCCAAGCTGGCACAGCTCGTTGAGATCACGACAAATCTCAAACTGGCTTCATGCAGGCAGCAGGGTGGCGGCTATGTGCTTCCGTGGGTCATGGATGGTGTCGACACCGAGAGACGGCTGCCGGACAAGGACGAGGATGACGGTGACCCCGAGCTTGACGTGTGGGGGGCCAGACCTGTTGGTACGTTCACCGACCGGGAGATCAGGAGGCAGATCGATGTTTTTCGCAAGGACGGCACAAGCCGTCCTCGAGAGGTTTCTGTCGTATTCGGGGATCGGGCGGCCACTGTGCTCCCTTTCGACCATGTGCCTCCTCCCCCGTCCCGGGGAGCAGGAGAGGGTTCCGCGGCAGCCGCTGAGGGCGGAGAGGACGATTGGACGGACGCAGAGAATGTGGCGGGGGGCACAGACAGGACGGCGGAGCAGGTGTACTTCACGTACGGGGGCGGGTCGGACGGGCATGCGCCGCGGACGTCCGTCACGGACGATGTCATCGGCGGGGCACAGGGTAGCGCCACTCGACACCCTCCAGCGGGTCGATGTCGTGGCGCCGTTGCTCGCAACGTTCACCCCCGCGCGAGGAGAGTTCTAGGGGTGGAGTCGAGTGACGAGGACGAGGGAGTGGCACCTCACGCTGACCGCCTGCAGGACCCTCGGTTCGATCCGAGCCACCACTCCAGGGAGCATTCAGAGCAGCTTCGTCGGTCACACAGGTTGGCAGAGCGTAGCATTCCGGCGTCCCAGCAGCCTCAGGACATACCGGTCGCGGAGGGGACACCGTCACACAGCGCCCCCGCACAGGCTGCGACATCCTCTCTGCGCACCAGCGATTTCGATATCGCGGGTTCTCATGGGGGCTCACCTGTCTTACGATGTAGAGTCCATGACAGACCGGATTACAGTACGGATGTGAGGGAGAGGGAGGAGACTGTTGAGGAGAGGGATGCTCGCCTAGATTGCAAGGAGGAGGCACGGTTACAGTCCATGCCTCGATGGGAGGGCAGAGAGGCGTATGAGGCCGAGCAGCGGAGGCAGAGGGAGTTAGAGACGATAGAAGCAGGTCCGCCATCGAGCGTCGGACGTATGCCGACTTCTGACACGATGCAGCCCCCCTATGGGCCCTCTCATGTTGTGGGTGGTGGAGCTCACACATGCGGATTCCCCGTTGGAGGCAGGGGGCAGGCAGATGTGCCATGCGAGGGTGGTCCTGTCGGGGGTGTCGAGACAGTCGGGTCAGACACAGAAGCGGAGAGCTCCGACGACGGCGAGGAGTGTGCGGCCGCCGAGGCTATCGTAGGCGACGTCGTGATTGGCATATACGCGGCTGGCACAGATGGAGGGAATCATGGAGGGGAGGAGGGGATGGTGGATGAGGGCAGTGTGCCTTTGCCTCAGGAGGAATTGGTGGACGAGGGGAGTGTTCCTTTGCCTCAGGAGGAGTTGGTGGACGAGGGGAGTGCTCCTTTGCCTCAGGAGGAGTTGGACGAGGGCGATTTGGCTTTACTTGAGGAGGAGTTGGTGGACGAGGGCAGTGTCCCTTTGGAGGGCAGTGTGCCTTTCGAGGCTTTCGTTGATGGCGCGGCAGAGGATGACGAGGAGGGAGTAGCGGTCGACGCAGGCCACAGTGCCCCGTCCGTGCGAGATGGCGTGACCGGAGGGCATGTCGAGGAGGAGGGAGCAGCCATCGACATGTCCCTCGCGATTATTGTTAGGCCCCCGTCGGTGCGAGATGTCGAGAGAGGAGGGCATATTGACTCGGGCGGGCCGGGCTCTTTCTCCACAGGTGGGCATTTCGGGGAGATGCATGAGTGGGATGGCGGGGAACTGGGGGAGTGCACTCCGACCCCATTACATTCGGAGCAGCTAGAGAAGTTGGGGACGTAGGACCCTTTCCCGTTCACCGGTGGTCAGCCCTCGCCTCCCCTGTGGGCTCCGGTGAGCCCTATGTGGACCGGATCATCGCAGTCCCACATCCGTGAGCGGGAGTCTTTGGAGAGACAGGCGGCAGTGTTTTCAGGCGGGCCTGGCAGCAGCCATGCGCAGCCACTGACGCGCCCTGTATCTTGAGCATCGCAGCAGGGATCAGCACCGACACCAGGTCTTCCACCGATTGGAGGTCGAAGCAGCGGGCGGGGATCTTCTTCGAGTCATCGAGGTGGCGTTTTAGGGGGGTGGTCGTCTTGTCGGCGAGTGACGGACAGTCAGAGAAGGGACTACTATAGAGGACAGGGGTTGTTCGCACGAGGACCATTGGGGGAGGGAGATCCTGTAGCGGGTGCGAGTGAGGCTGGACGACCGAGTGTCCACACAGCAGGACGTATACTCGGATTGGATAGAGTTGAGTCGAGGAGGACAGAGAGGTTGGAGGTTTATCCGACTCGATCAGCCATTGACGACAGACGGCAGGGACTGCCGTACACATCGGGCGAAGAGGACTTGCATATGCCACAGGGTTCGAGACGTCATGGCTCGATCAGGGATCTTGATGCGGAGATTGCTGCTGACCAGCAGCGGTTGGCGGACCTCATTCGCGAGCATGAGAGGAGGTCGGAGACGGAGGCACAGGCTGAGGAGGTGGACACATAGACTGAGCCCATCGACACAGCTATGCGGAGAGAGAGGCATCGGAGAGTAGCGTCCGCGGCAGGCTCACACCTTGCACCCGTAGGGAGACAGGGAGCACCACGCGGCAGGGGTCGGAGTGGGCAGAGAGGAGCATTGGCAGGGAGGGAGTGCAGCACGTCATAGCACTCATACTAGGCGCGACGGCAGGGGTTAGGAACTTGTGTAGCACGGGAGATCAGTTTTGTACTTTAATGTTTTACACGGCAGGAGTTAGCGACTTTGTGTAGTAGGGCAGATTAGTTTTGTACTTTCATGTTTTTGTATATTATTTTTATTTTATCTCTACATTACTTTCATATTCTTAGTTGTTAGGTTTCAGAATTGCTTTACGTTGTTAGTTTTGTTGTGCTGTGTTTCCATCATGTTAGGTGTCTGACTTGTTCATGGTTGTAGTATTTTTTTCCTGCACTGTGACACCATTTTTGGTTTTCTTGGCCAGGTTGTCATGTTGACTTTGTTCACATTTCGTCATAGACACATTACGTTTGGCAGTGCTATGTTTGAATCATGTATTGGTGTTTTTGTGTGTGTTGTATTGTCCTTATGTCTATCAAACCCTATCCCCTCCCAGTTAATGTCCCTCCCCAACCGCCTTTCAGCCAATGAGCCCTCTCTTTCTGCCCCCTCCCAATGAATGGCATCCACCAACGCCCCCCCAACGAATGACTCCTCGACCAGATCAACCCCCCAAAACCATCACTGAACAAAAGGAATGAAAACATTTCTGTGTTGTGAAAGTGGCACCCCCCAAAAAAAAAATTGTTCTTAGCGTGTCCGTGAAGGGGACCCCCCGTAACCCAAGCCTGCGCCGGCAAAATTGAAAAAAGGGGGTCCCTTATTTTTTACCCCCCCCCTTAAACATACCCCAATTTGGACCCCCCCATTTTTAAGTTTTTTTCATTTTTTTCTTTGCGGGGGTGTCAGGCCTTGCTCGCGCCCCCGGAATCCCGACCCCAATTTCCGGCACCCCCTCCCCCGCGCCTGCGGCGCGCCCTTTTTGACCGCAACTGCCGCGGTCATGACCGCGCGCCCGCGGTCATGCCCGCGGTGACCGCGGCCGCCGGGAATACATAGCCCATAAACGCTCTCCCGACACCTTCGCTTTCCCTCACACGATCTCCACCCTGGAGCTAGCCACCTTTGCAAATAGCATCTGAGGTCTAAGCACACCAGCAGTGCTCTGCGCTGATGTCTAGCCTGTGCAGCACCGCAAATGAAAATAGGAAGTGGGGGAGGGGGCCCACTCCTACATATATACTATGAAGTTTGTCTCATCCTTTGCACCGCATGTCGTCTGATCGACTCAAACCAATGGTACCGATGGGCCTATACCTCAACGCGGGGACGAGCGGGTGCTTGAAGTAGGTCTGCCTTTTTGTTGGGTCGCCCTATCATGACCAAACGATCAGGAGAAATTGACAGTGGGGATCGTTCGGTACCTCAAAGCAGGCCCGCGCCCCGGTAGGAGCTTCAGGGTAAACACCTCGTCTTTTCAAAACGCCATCCACTCGAGCATCAGCCTCATTTCACGTTTTTCAACATCGGCGTTCAGGTCTGGTGTAGCGAACGCCCCTCCACAGGCACTATTTGTTGCTCGCAACCAAGGGCAAGTGAAGCGATTGTTGCTCGACTTGTCGATCTCCTTCACACGACCGGTGGAGCGTTGTCCATAAGAGTGATCCACCCATCTAACACTGCCCTTGACGTCTTCTCCGTTGTGCGTTTGCAAGTTATTTGTACGATTTTATCGATTTTATCGGGATGGGTCTGTGTCAGTCGTCAAGATCGGCAATCGATGGTCACAATTTTTCCTTTTCTAATTTCTCCACTTAATGACGTCAACAGATTGTCTGCAATACACTTCCCCGGTCTTCAAAGGTGCCTGCCACATCCCCTACATGATGCGGTCGTCGTGTCTGACACAATAACCTGTTGGGCAGTCATCATGTCCAACACGATGTAAGAACCTCGCTTGAACCTCTCTGCATGACCTGGTCATCGTGTTCGATACGATAACTTGTCGTCGGTCATTGCGTCGAACACGATGACTGAACCTCGCTTGAACCTACCAGACAGTCGTCATGTCCAACAAGGTGACACCTAAGGCATAAATCTAAGCTTTGCATAAAAAAAATATTTATCTCGAGTCATCGTGTCCAGTCATCGTATTCAACGCGATTGTTTTTTTTTCGCCTGTTCTAGGACACGTACAGAGCCAATCATTGTGTCCAACAAGATAACTCCTCAAGCACGGTTGAAGTAGTCGTGTTCGATACGATGGGCCTTTTTCGACTGTTGTTAACACATACTATACACCACAAGGAGCTTAACTTCTGAGACTGTGATTGTGCGCTTTCTTCGAAGAAACCTATGCTATGAGTCATCGAGTTCAACACGATCGTCGAGTTGAGGCTTCGGTCGTTTGAGGCTTACACTACACTACAGGGTGCCATAGTTTGTCAACAACAATCTAAGACTCCGGTTGTGCGCTACCTTACAATAAACCTATGCCTTAGGTTGTCGTGTTGAACACGATCGTCCATCGTTTACCTGGCAAATGAAGGTTGTCGGCTGCGAACAGGGAAAAGTGCCTCACCGAGTCACCGTCATTAATCTCTGACACTAATCAAGTGTCTCACCCTTTTGGAGGCCTGATACTAACATGGGGCGTCGTTGTCGGATCTCGACGAAAGGATATCATAACGTCTGAGACACCACCCAACGACATTTCAATGCACACCATGTCCGGCCGTCCTTTGACTTTTGCAACCACTCCAAACGTCGGTCGCGGTTTGCAACAGTTCTGCATATAACCTATTTTTGCCGCTCTTTGCAGCTACGAAAACGTCTGTCCGAGGAAGTCGTCGTTTGTTCCCTACAGTAGTGCTTTTGGTCATCCAACACTGGCACGACCGGCTGTTTGGCACATATGGAAGGTTGTCAATCGCAAACTATTAAGAGTGCATGACCCTCACGGGTGCATAACACTGATGGATGTAGTGAAGTCTCAGCGAACGAGTGACATGCTGTTAAGGACAACACGCAAGAACATATTTGTGCAGACCTTGTTCTGTCAGCCGATGACCTTTTGCGACTGCTCTCTTAAGCACCCACCTTGTGAGACATCCTTCATTTAGGGAAGTTGTCGTGTGTCCCCTCTATAATAGTTTGGTAGTCCGAACCGTGGACGACCGACTGTTTGGCACATATGGAAGGTTGTCAATCACAAAATGTCAAGAGTGCATAACCCTCAAGGGTGCATAACACTGATGGATGTCGTGAAGTCTCGGTGAACGAGTGGCATGCCGTTAAGGACAACACACTAGAACATATTAGTGCAAACCTTGTTCTGTAAGCCGTTGACCTTTTACAACTGCTCTCTTAAGCACCCACCTTGTGAGACAGCCTCCATTTAGGGAAGTTGTAGTGTGTCCCCTTTATAATAGTTTGGTAATCCGGACTGTGGACGACCGACTGTTTGGCACATATGGAAGGTCATGAATCGCAAATTGTCAAGAGTGTCTGACCCTAACGAGTGCCTAACACTGATGGATGTCGTAAATTATCAATTAACAAATGGTATGTCGTCTAAGACTGCACCTGAGAACATCTCAGCGCACACCCTTTTTATGCCAGCTGCTAAAATATGCATCCGCTCTCTAAAGGAGCCATCTTCGAAGAAAGCCTCTGTTTGAGGAAGTTATCGTGTGTCCTATATAATAGTGTTTCTAGTGGTCCGGACTCCGAACCGTGGACAGCCGACTGTTTGGCTCATGTGGAAGGTTGTTGATTACAAGCTGTCAAGAGTGTCTAACCTTAGCGGATGTTTAACACTGATAGATGTCGCAAAGTGTCCACGAACGAATGACATACCGTCTAATACAGCGCCCGGTAACATTCAGTGCATACCCTGCTCTGCCAGCCGCCAAGTTTTGCAGTCGCTCTCTACAGTAGTTGCCTTCTAAGAAAGCCTTTGTCAATAGGAGTCGTCGTGTGTCCTCTATAATAGTGTTTTTGGTGGTCCGAACCTCGGACGGCCGACCTTTTGACACTTATGGAAGGTTGTCAACCGTGAAGTATCAAGAGTACCCCACCCTAATGATTGTCTAGCAATGGTGTATGTCATGATGTCTCAAGGAATGAATGACGCAGCGTCCACCATGGGATACAACACTAAGGGAGAAGGAGAGGCATCGTTCTGAAGTTGTCGTATTAGACACGATGAGGGTTGTGGGTGGCCGGTAGACAACGTAATGGGAATAAGTCATCTTGTTGAACACCAGGACGGTTGTTTGAAACCGTTAGACGAGAGCTGGAAAATGGTCGATGTAAAGTGAGGGTT